AGGGTCTCTAGGGGAAGACCAGTACTGAGGCAACATGGACTTGGTTCCTTCATCCCCTTCCCATAGACAAACTAGGAACCTACTTTTATGCCAGGTTTTTGATCTTCCCTGTGCAGCCTGAACTCCCTGAATAGTCTCTCTTGTTCATACAAGTCAGCTGTTTCAATAGCTGTTTCCCCTAATGCCGGAGTTTCTTCCCACACGGCAGCTCATGCTCTTTCAGAGTCAACCTCAAAGAACTGCTGCTGGACAAAGTGCTCCATCAATTAATGATGGTTGTTTGCTCCATTACTCTGCACCCATGTTTCCAAATAATCCACCATTTCATGAACATATTCCCTATGACCTCACATATCATCAACTTCTTTTGAGGTTTATGAACTCGAGATGATATTCCTCTGGGGTAATTTGAAGCAGTTTTAATGGAGACTCATTAGACACATCACACCTCATGGCTTCATCTATATAGGGTAACCATATTTCCCAAAAGGAAAACAGAACACTGCATCGGGCTCGCCCAACTCTCTGAAGCCTGCGACCCAGAGACTAGAGCGGACAGCCAGAAGTCCCAGCATCTAGCATCAATGCTCGTCTCCCTCAATGGGTCCTTTGCACATCCCCTCCCGCCTGGGATAACACACCCCATTATTTGGCTGCTTAACTGAGAACTGTGTCACGCTGGTCCTCTAAGCCAGCGTTTCCCAAATTATGGGTCACAGCCCGCTACCGGGCCGCAGGAAAAAAATACCGGGCCTCAGCATGGCTGCTAGGGTATTCTGGGCTCCAGGAGTGCCCGTGTGGCGGCAGGTCTCCCAAGCCCTCAACCGGGCTGAGCAGAGTCTACAGCCAGATGTTCCGGGCTCCCAGCAGAGGTGTAGCTAGGGTTACCAGGTGAGTTGAAAAAAAATGCCAGACATATTTGATCCAGATGGGGGGAAGGAGATCGGCCGGGAGAGGAATGGAGCAGGCTGGGAGCAAGTGTGTGTATAACAGGAAACTGGCCACCATGAAGGAGGGCTGTGGGGGGTGGGGTTTAGGAGTAGAGGGGCTGGCCAGGGGAGGTCGGGAGGAGGTGGAGGAGGAGAAGGGGAGAACCAGCCACCAGAAGCAGTGCTGGATGAGGGTAGTGGAGCTGGCCGGGAAGATGGGGGGAGGGAACCGGCAGGCAGAAGCAGGGCTGGACTGGGGCTGGCCCGGGGAGATCAGGAGGAGAAGTAGGGGAGAACCGGCCGGCTGGGAGGGGTTGGGGGGGAGCA